CACTTTACCACACTGAGCTACATCCCAGCCCTTTTTAAATTTTTATTTTGAGACTTGCTGAGGCTGGCCTTGAACTTGCAATCTTCCTGCCTCACCCTTCAGAGTTGCTGGGATCACAGGCATGAACCTTTGTACTGACCTCTGTGACTGATCTTCTAATGTTAAATCATTGTATTTTGGAAGAAGACTTGCTCATTAAATGGTATCTTTTTATATTATATTTTCAACTTGACAATATAATTTGCATCTATGTTCATGAGAGATTGTATTTTTTTTCCTTTCTTATGTTCTTGACAATTTTTTGTGGTGAAACATACATAAATTTAAAATTTACCATTTCAACAATTCTTAAGTGTATAATTCAGTGGCACAATGTACATTCACACTGTTGTGTAGTTCTTGCCACAATTCATTGCTCTCTTTTATTTTTTTTTCAGTACTCAGGATCAAATCCAGGGCCTCGCACATGCCAGGCAAGGGCTCTACCACCGAGCCACATCCCGGTGTTTGCTTGTATCTTTTCTTGAAAGATTTTTATATCAAGGTTATGCTGTCCTCCTAAACTAGAATGAGAACTGTGCCTTCTATTTCTGTTTTTTGGAAGGATTTGTGTAAGAATGGTACTATTGTGCTCACTTCAGCAGCACACATGCTAAAATTGGAACAATACAGAGAAGATTAGCAAGGCCTCTGTGCCACATTATTATAATATTTTTTTAGAGAGAGAGACAGAGAGAGAGAGAGAGAGAAAGAGAATTCTTTTAATATTTATTTTCTAGTTATCGGTAGATACAACATCTTTGTCTGTACATGGTGCTGAGGATCGAACCCGGTCCGCATGCATGCCAGGCGAGCGCGCTACCGCTTGAGCCACATCCCCAGCCCCCTCTGTGCCACATTAATTCATGAAGTATTTCATGTTTTTCAAAATAACTAGAAGAGTCTTGAAGGTTTCCAACCCACAGAGATGACAAATGTTTGAGAAGATGAAAATACTAATTACCTTGATTTGATTATTGTACATTATATACACCATATTAAATTATACTATACCCCATAAATATGTACATATATGTGTCCATTTAAAAAGTAAAAAAAAGGCATTTTTCCTTTATGTCTTTCAAGAATTCACCTATGAATTTATCTGTATATAGATATTTTTAGAAAAATTCAAATTCCATAATCAATTCATAAAAAAATGATAAAACCACACAGACTTTTCTATTTCTTGCTTATCAGGTTTGATAAGTTTCATTTTTTCAAGGAGTTTGTCTAATTCATCTAAATTATCCAAGTTCTTTGGCACATATACACTTATTACCTCTTTAAAAATATTTTTAGTTGTAGATGGACACAATATCTTTATTTTTATGTGGTGCTGAGGACTCAACCCAGTGCCTCACACATGCAATGCAGGTGCTCTACCGCTGAGTTACAGGCCCAGCCCTTATTACCATTTTTTTTTTTTAATGTCTGGAACATCTTCAGCAACGTACTCAATATCATTCCTAATACAGATAATTAGTATTCTCCCCCTACATCCTGCTTTTTCTCTCTTCCATGTGTACTCTTAGTCTTGCTAGAAATTTATCAATTTCATTGACATTTTCAAAAATTTACCTTATTGTTTTCTCTTTATATATATATTTATTTTTAGAGAACTTTTTAATATTTATTTTTTAGTTTTCGGCGGACACAACATCTTTGTTTGTATGTGGTGCAGAGGATCCAACCCGGCCGCACTCATGCCAGGCGAGCGCGCTACCGCTTGAGCCACATCCCCAGCCCTACATATTTATTTTCTACATATCAATTTCTCTATCACTTTCTTCTCTTATCCTTCTATTTTCCTGGGGTTTAACTTTCTCTTCTTTTAGCTTCTTAAGATTGAAGCTTAGATCAATGACTTCTCAGCCTTTCTTCTTTTCCAAAATGTGCATGTGCCTGTGGATGTATCAGCTTCCCTCTGGACACTGCTTTAGCAACATTCTGTAAGTTTTGATGTCATGTTTTCATAGTCATTTATTTAAAAGTATTTTCTAATCTCCATTATAATTTCTCCTTCTAGGGCTGGGGATGTGGCTCAAGCAGTAGCGCGCTGGCCTAGCGTGCGAGCCGCCCGGGGTTCGATCCTCAGCACCACATACCAACAAAGATGTTGTGTCCGCCGAGAACTAAAAAATAAATATTAAAAATTCTCTATCTCTCTCTCTCTCTCTCCTCTCTCACTCTCTTTTTTTTTTAAAAAAAGATAATTTCTCCTTCTACCTATGAGTTATTTAGAAGCAACGTCTTCAAATAGTTTAGAATTTAGTTTTTTTGTTTGTTTTAATTCCTAATTAATCCTGGGTCAGAGAATGTATTCTATATTATTTCAGTCTTTTAACATTTGTTGATAACTATCTTTGTAGCCTAACATATAATATGTGCACAAAAATGTTTTCTGCAGTTGTTAGGTACAGATTCCTATATAGGTCAATTAGATCAAATTGATTAATTATGCTGTTTAAATCTTCAAAATCCTTTCTGATTTTTTTGTCGGTTTGTTCCAGCAGTTATTGAGATAGCTGTGTTAAAATCTCTAACTAAAACTGCCTATTTCTCTTTTCAGTTCTGTCACTTTTACTTTGTATATTTGGAAGCTATGTTATAAATGTGTACATATTTGCAAATATAAATTTATACATATAAATTTAGGAATGTTTTTCTGTTGAATTGACTCATCATTAAAAATGTCCCTTTTATTTCCAGTAATATTTCATAATTACAGTCTATTCTCTTGGAAATTAATAGCAACATCAGCTTTTTTTGGTTAGTGTGTGCATGGTGTACATTTTCCTTTCCTTTTATCCTTTATTTCAACCTTTTTTGTGTCCTTACATGTATAGTATGTAGTTGTGTTTTCAAAATCCAATGTGAGGGGTTGGGGATGTGGCTCAAGCGGTAGCGTGCTCGCCTGTGCGGCCCAGGTTTGATCCTCCAGCACCACATACAAACAAAGATGTTGTGTCCGCAAATAACTAAAAAATAAATAAATGTTTTTTTAAAAATCCAATGTGAAAATGCTTTTTTTTTTTTTTAAGTATTGGGGATTGACCTCAGGGCCTTCCACATGGTAGGTAAGTGTTCTAACACTTGGCTATATCCCCAGCCCTTTTTAAATTTTTATTTTGAGACAGAGCCTTGTTAAATTGCCTAGACTGGCCTTGAACTTGCTATCCTCTTGAGCAGCTCTTGAGTAGCCAGGATTACAGGTGTGTATTACCATGCCTAATACTTGCTTTTCTTCTAATGTCTCTGCATTTAAAGAAGGAGCTTTAGGAGGCAATGTTAACCTAGAGGATAAGTGTTAAGAGTGGAATTTCAGAGGGTGTGGCTCAGTACATCCTCAGAAAACACAACATCCCATATGATAGCACTAACAACAGGAACAACAACAATATTAATATAACAGCTAATACTTGTATTTGTCTTTACAGTACGCTAGGTACTTCATACACACACTAAGCTCTGAGATATATTTTGTAATCTATTTTAACCATGAATATGAACATAGATAAACACTAAAAGTCACTTGTTGTTTTGTTTTGTGACTATCAGTCCCTCCAAATTCCACTAGAATCCTCTCCTCACTTCTATAACACTCCCAAGACAGGCTCTCCCAACTCCCCTTACCAGCATCCCGCTCCAAACACAAGCAGTTTGGTTCACTGATACAGTAGACCTCCTAGTCACCTGCCCTGCTTCCTGATATCTTAGTATCCCTGCTTTCAACTACACTGCTGGGTAGCTGCTTGGGGGAGGTGGGACCTTCAGGGTGTACCCTAGCTGCTCCATTCTCAGCCTCAGCCACAGCCCACAAAGTGTGCACCTCTGCATGCCTTAACCATCTTTGGTACAATGTAGATGCTCAATGACTATTTGCAGAATGAGGCTGAAAGGAAAAATGAATGGTCTTATGATTATATGAACATAGATACACAGGTGAGGCCATGCGTGCTTTCAGGATTCCCCCACTGCGGGGGCGGGAGGGGGGGGAGAGGACACCAGCCCCTTCACAATCCCTCACATCCCTCCTTCCTCTTCTTCCCCATCTAGCCTGTGCCAGTCAGTCCTAGGGAGGAGTGACAGTGATGAATCCCTTTCCATTTGCGCAGGCAAAGGTAAAACCCTGTGTCTCTTGGCATCCTCACCAGTCGCCATACAGCTATGCAAGGGCCACAGAGGCGTCCCGTCCCATCCCCTGGTCCACTGTGCGCTCGCTCTCTCACTCTCCTTGGATATCAATCGGGTACCATGGAGTGAGGTGGTGGTTGGAAGAGGGGTTACATCTTTTCTTTACCTTACTCTCCTTCCCAGCCTCCAGATGCTGCTCCTTCGCGCTACTCAGCTGCAGCACACACATTCCGTGGATGGACGCTGCCCGCGCGCTCCCGAAGCTTCGTCACTGTAACTCGCCCGGATGAAGGGACCGAGTGGGGATCCCATCAATTGCTGGGGACACCTCCCCCTCCCGGCCTGGGAGTTACCTGGGGTCCGGGTGATTCCCACCCTGTCCCGGGCAGCTGCGCCTTCCGATTGGGTAGCAGGTCGAGCTTGCGAGACTCCATTGGCAATAACGCCCAAGTCTTGTGTGTGTGTGTGTGTGTGTGTGTGTGTGTGTGTGTGTG